GGGTACCAAGCATGGCAACCGCCCGGTGCCCCGTGCCCCAGGGCCCCCCACAAAGCTCCATCACTCCGGCTTCTGTTTCAGCTCTGGGTGGCGGGGCTCAGGGCCCTGGGGTTCAGCCCCAATGCAGTGGGGCTTTGGCAGATCTAACGCCGACCCTGCTTGAAGGCCCCCCGCCACCTGCTGGGGGCCCCGGAGCCCTGGTGGAGAACCACTGCCCCAGGGAACCAAGGCGCCCCTGCCGCTTACTAGTCTGCAACCAGCAGCCGAGGGCAGACGCACGGCCCCCTCCCCACAAAGCCCAACTGTGTTTCCAGCAGCCCCCCGCCCCAGCGAAGCAGCTTCTCCCCCTCCCCTGCCCCCGGGCTAAGAAATGCACCGCAGCCGCAGGGCTCTGCTTGTCTCGGTAGGTTTATCTCTCTTTGCAATATACAATATAAAACAATATGCTTCTGTTTTGTACATCTGAGCAACATTGGCACGGCGAACATCCCGCGGCACCGGGGCTCGTTACATTCCGGCAGCAGGCGGCTGCCTTCTCGGCTCGGATCCCGAGGGGGGGGCAGCCCCCCCGCAGCCCCAGAGAGGGGGAGGGGGCTGGATGGAGAACACCACTCGGGGGAGAAATACTGCTCCTCGCCGGGAGTCCCCCAGCCCGCGCTGCACGGGACACCCCCATCTCCGGAGACAAGGACTGGGAACCTGGGGGGGTGGGGGGGGGATTGATCGCAGCGCTGCGTGTGACACACCCACGATGGCAGAGTCGGTAGCTGGAGAAAGGACAGACACTCGCATGCATAATTACAGCCATTGTTTTTGTTAAAAAAAATACAAGATCCCTGGCCCCCGCCGTACTGTGATTCACAGTAGCAGCTAAGAACACACGGGTGTTGGGCTGGGGGGGGGCGGTCCCCTCCCTTGAAGGTGAGATTAGAGCATGGAGAAGCTGCCCCCTCCCGCTGTAAAGACGTAACCTGGCTAATCATGCCTCAGGCCAGCCACAAACCCAAAAATCCAAGAGCCCCCCCCCCACTTGGGAGGACAAGTCACCCCTCCCTCTAACCCCCCCCCCCCGAAATGCAGCCCGCTCCCTTCCGGGGAAGGCAGCGGCAGCCAAGCCATTGGTTGATGGTTCAGGGTCTCCTCTGGACAGGGCAGCCTGTCCCCCCCCCCGCAGGAGATGTGCCCCTCCCCTCCCCCCGCCGCCTGCAGACGGGCCCGGTCTTCGCTGCCCCCTCGGCAGCTCCAGGGGCGAGCAGGTTTCGGCGGCGGCTCCGGCAGGCGATGCTGGGGGGGAAGGGAAGTCCGGCAGCTCCGCGGCGGGGGTGGGGGCCCCAGGTACCTCCTAGCGGTCCAGGCTGATAGTCCAGTGCTTGGCGCCGGAGTCCCTCCTGCCGCCGGTCTCCCCCTCGCTCTTGAGGTCCTGGAAGACCTGGGTGAAGTAGTGCGGGTCCGAGTTGATCTGCAGCATCTTGGCGCTCAGGCGCTGGATGAGGGCCAGGCAGCGCTCCCAGAACCGCTCCTTGTCGCCCTCCACCAGGAAGGGCTTGAGCGGGTAGGAGATCTCGTTGCCCATGTAGGAGTAGGCCAGGTAGAGGCAGGTGAGGAAGGCGGCCTGCAGCTCGCCCTGGCTGCCGATCTCCTCGCCCCGCAGCGCCTCGCGGCACAGCAGGTAGACGAAGACCAGGTTGGCCGGGGTGATGAAGCCCTGGTCCTGCCACCCCTGTAGCAGCAGCGCCCGGTCCACGCTGCGGAACCAGGCGATGAGCTCGCCGGGGCTCAGCTCCTTCAGGCGGTAGCAGCGGCGGCACACGAAGTCCCCCAGGCAGCGCAGCAGCTCCCCGGTGGAGGCCTGGACGATGACCCGGCGGGGGGAGCCCGGGGCGCGGCTGCCGGGCGGCGGGGGCGGCGGCGGCGGAGGGGCGGCGGCGGCTTGCCCCCGCCCGACTGCAGCTCCGGCGGGGCGGAGGGCACCGTGGGCACCGGCACGGCCAAGGGCCCCTGCTTTGTGCCGGGCGCGCCCGCCTCCTGCTGCGCCCCCAGGGACTTGCGCAGGTTCTCGCGGTTGCGCTGCTGCACCAGCGGGTCGGGCTGGGCCCCCCCGCTGCCCGGCTTGGGGGTCACCTTCTTGGCGCTCTTCTTCTTCTTGGCCGAGGCGGCCACCAGGCGCTTCCAGGTGAGGGCGGAGATCAGCACCCCGGGCCGCTTCAGCCGGCTCTCGCCTTTCCCGTGCGCCCTGGCCGGGGCAGCCTCCTGCGCCAGGGGGCCCCCGCCGCCGCCCTTGCCGAGGCGGCGGGGGGGGACAGGGACAGCACCGTGCCCATCCTCGCTCCTTCTCCCCCGGGCACTGGGACGGGCCGGAGCCGAGCGGTCTAGGGCGCGGCTGGAAGCCAGGAGCAGGCACCGGCCATGGGAGGACGCCGGGCGGAGCCGGAGGACGCGCCGCTGCGCTTGTTGCGCCAGATCTGGGCTCTGCACCAGCGGCTGCACCAGTCCCGGCCCCGCCGCTCCCCGCCTCTCCCGGAGCAGCCAATCCAAGCCGGGCTCCCCCACCCGGCGCGCCGCAAGGCCCGCCTCCCCGGGGGGACCTCCGGCTCGGGCTGGGGAGCCCCGGGGCTGGGGGTCCCTGCTGCCCCCAGCGGCTGGCCGGGACCTGGGGCTCCAGGGAACAGCCCCAGCGGGCAGGACCAGGGCGGGGGGGCGCTTTCCCTGGCAGATCCCCAGGGACCACCTTAGCCCGGAAAGGATGTGAAATGGGCGCTTCTTATTGGGCGGGGGGCATTAATGGCCCCGTCCCTGCCTAACCCCAGCAATGGGAAGGGGGAGCTGCTGTTATCCCTGGCTGGCCCTTGTCTCCAGCTGGACAGGCAGATTCCTCCATCCCAGGGCCAGAAGGAACCACAACGATCATCCAGTCCCAGCTCCTGCATAGCTCAGGCCGAGAATACAGCGGCCATCAAGCGCCGGTTCGGGTCCCGCAGCTCCATCTGGGGATGATGGGCCCAGATAAGGTTCGGAGAAGACGATGGGGGGGTTGGAACAGGAGGAGAGATTAAACCGAGTAGGACTGTCCATTTGGAAAAGAGACCATTAAGGGGGGATACAATAGAGGTCTATAAAATCATGACTGGTGTGGAGAGCGAAAAGGGAAGTGTTATTTACCCCTTCACATGGGTCAGCCAATGAAGTGAATCGGCAGCAGGTTTAATGCAAACAAGAGGAAGTGTTTCTTCACACCACCCACAGTGAACCTGTGGAACTCACTGCCTGGGGATGTTGTGAAGGCCTAAAGTATAACTGGGTTCAAAAAAGACCTGGAGAAGTTCCTGGAGGCCAAGTCCATCAGTGGCTATTGGCCAAGAGGGTCAGGGACACAACTCCCTGCTCTGGTTGTCCCCAAAGCTCCATCAGAAGCTGGCAGTGGAAGATAGGGATGGATCACTCCAGAGTTGCCCAGTGCTGTACACTCCCCCTGAAGCTCTGGTACTGGTCACTGCTGGAGACGGGATACTAGGCAAGATGGACCATGGTCTGACCCAGTTGTTATGTTTACCACCAAAATGCAGCCACCTCTGGGGTGGAAGTCAGCAGACACCTCTTGCATGCCAAGGTCCATGCAGCAGTTCTCAAGCCATCCCCCATAGGGCCTGTGCAAGGGGACACAGGTAGAATAGCTGCATGAAGAGGACCCCAAACCCCTTGGGCACCATATGGGGGTCTCCAGATCAGCCCAACCTAAGCTAACATGAGGGGTAGGAACAGGGACCATCTAGAGATCCCGGGCTGCATTGTCATGAACCCAGGGGCCCTAATACACCATGACAGCAGCAGGGAGGTGATATAGTTGCTAGTCCAGCCCTAAACTGGACCCTAGACCCTGATTTCCCTGGTTTTGTGCAGATTCAAAGAAATTCACGTCCCAGAGAGGCAGGAGAATGCTCCTGATTCCCAGCTGGGCTCAGGTGGAGGGAAGCGGGGAGGTAGGTGCACTCCCCCACAGCCTGGTGCCACCGTCCTGTGCTCCAGAATCTCAGGTGGAGGGAAGCGGGGAGGTAGGGGCACTCCCCCACAGCCTGGTGCCACCGTCCTGTGCTCCAGAATCTCAGGTGGAGGGAAGCGGGGAGGGACGGGGACGC